AGTCACTAAAAGGGTAGAAAAACTATAAAATTGCTGTCAAGCAAGCAGAATTTCAACAAAAGGAGGGGAAGAAGAAAAATAAGCAAAAACAAAAAAGATAAACAGAAAAGAAAAACAAAATAACATGATATGAATAAGTCTCAGTGCACATTTCAGTAACCATTATAAACACAGACACTTTCCTCTTAAGGCAGAATCTATCAGATTGGACTGAGATAAACAACTGTGAAGCAGACCACAGACCCTCCCACAAAAGAGCTCTCAGATTCTTCCAACTCTGATATAACTTGTGTGTTCTGGAATCTTTGAAGGTCTGACTAAAGCCTCTCATTGTAGTTGAGGAAACAGACTCAGAATGGTAGAGCTGCCTACTTGGGGCTACATTTTAAATGAATGTCAGGGAAACCGGAAGCCGGATCTCCTCCTTGTCCAAACATTTTTTTCCCATTCATCCCAATTTTTCAACAGCAGGACATAAGATTAGTCTAGAGGAGACACAGGATTTTATCAGATTTAAAATTTTGCCTCATCTTATTGACAATAAAAACCCAGCGCTGGGGATGTTTGCCTCCATACTCTGTTGGTGGAAGTGTGAAGCAGAGAAGCCCCGAGAGTTATGTGTGAGGACCCTACATGCTACCTCTGAGTGACACACCGTCTCCTGTAGATCTTCTGTTCTGGCCAATTAGCACTTAGCAAACAAGGTATTTCTAATCCTCTGCCTCCCCTAGCCTTTGCTTTATATCTTTACTTTTTTTTTTTCTTTCTGCCATTTACTAATAAGGATTTGCTTTGTCTTTTGTATTTTATATTATCTCATTGTTATGATTCTCCTCCAATTGGGTCTTGAGGTCCCTTTCTGCAGAGCAGCTATAAACTCTAGTCCTGCCCTGATGGGGCTCCAGGGGAGGTGCTGTGGGTGTACAGTGTGCCTCTCACAGGATATTTCTTTATCCTGGTGGATGGCCTAATAATGCCTAGGTGTTCCTCGCGCAGGAGCACTGCTTATACTGGCAGATGCCCTTGTGGCTCTTGTCTGACCTGTGTCCAGTTTATTCCTACTGAGATAGCCCCTCTCTAGGAGAGCCCCGACCAGGAGGAGACTTAGGTTCAGGTGTGTGGGTCAGGTGAGCCACAGAGGAGGCAGCACAACAAAACATGTGAAATCACAGAGCAGTTTATTACTCACAGATCCATGAGAGAAGAGGGGTGACCACGAGGGCCGACAAGAAGTCGAGAGACAGCAGGGTGCTCAACCAGTGAGTGGGGAGCAATACAGAAGCACCTGTGGGACTAAAGCCTTTATTGGGGTTCAGGGCATTACCCCAGCAAGTTTCCTATGGGGAGTTGCAATTGGTGAGTTTAGAGCAAGCAGACAGTTCCATGGGATCATGCTGTGACTGAGGGGGGTCACTGCAGCATATCTGCACAGTCTATGCAGGGTGTGGGAGTCAGTGGAGCAGGTTACATAGGTTGTATCTAGTAGTCTCACAGGAAGGTGGTCACCAGGAGATGGTTGTACAAGGCAGATGTCTAGATCGATCACATTGAGGAACTGATAGGGGGAATACTGGAAACTGTGTCCAGGGTGATTCGGCCCTGCCTCTGGCACGAGAAAGTTAAACTTATATTCAAAATGGATGCTGAGGCAACATAAAAGTATGAGGATTTACTAGTCATTAATGATTTACAATGGCCCTGTATCAGGGTTCTTAGTCTTATGTAGTAGAACTGGTTAAATAACGAAAGAGAAGGAAAGAAGAAGTGGCATCAGGGGGAGGGGAGAGAGGAAGGCTATTTCAAAAGTAGCAAATCAGCACTACCTTCATTTTACACCTTCGGAAAAAGGAGGTGCAGAGAGAAGAAATGTGTTACCCAAATCATTGTGTTGGAACTGGCTTTCAGACCTGAGGCTCTGCTTGTGAAGTCCATCTTCTAGTGCACAATGTATGAGATGTGCTGCTTTCCAGGACAGTCAGGTGAGCTACTGCCTCCTTCAATTCCCCCAGGCAAGGGGAGTGAGTGTCTTGAGATTCCCCACCATCCCAGCCAGGGAGCCATCGATGCTGTAGAACAAGGGATTCCTTATGGGACTGGACCTGGCTCAGTGTGGGAGAGCAGGTGAAGAACGCTGTGCAAACTACTTCCTCTGTGTCTAGTGCTGAGTCCAGAGTCACCATAAGTCAGCCAGGCAGCCAGTTGGGGAGGAAGGTTGGATGCGGATGACAGCATGCACAAACTGGAACTGTGTCTTTGTGACCACCGCAACCTGATGCCACGGGAATCGTGAGCTGCGGTGAAAGCACACAGTAGCACACATACATGCTTTGTACTTGGCCAGGCTGAAGATGGCTCTGGCAGCAGCTGCAGGAGCTCAAGGCCCATGAGCTAGCAGATAAGCAACAGTGTACACAGCTGCCAGGCTCTGACGCCCTGCACTGGCTTCCAGAAGGTAAAACATTTGATGCAGTTTCCTTCTGCTTTACAAATCTCAGGAAATATCTTGTGACCAACCCTAACCTTGAACCAGTGAGGGGGGGAAATCCTGGGAAAGGTGGTTCCAGCTTAGCTACAGGGACACAGTCCAGAGTCACCACAACCACCTTACGAGTCCCAAAGTGTGGCAGAGTGCTCCTCTCATCAAAGCCCCAAAATCCATGAGGATTGCTTCCCTAGTTCACCCTGCAGCTTGGACATGTGCCCTAGGATTTGCCAATTAAACGTGTGTCTGGGGTTTCAATCTGGAGCCACAAGGCAGCAAGGACAGTGGCAAATTCTTTCTGTTCCATCTGTCCAGTGCTCACAGGCAGTAGAGCATGGTGCATACAGGGTGAATCCTGGGACCAGGGAGCTGGGCTTGAATTCTGCCTCCACTTATTTCCTTAGTCTCTGTGACCTTGAGCAAGACTCCTAATGTCCCTGAGTTTCCCCATCTTTAAAATGGGTGTAAAACGTCTAGCATATCATTATGTGCTAGAATGAGTTGCATAAACCATCTTAAGCTTGAAACCTCATGATGTGGTTGCAAAATATCTTCCTCCCCCCTCCCCCCTCCGATTTCCCCCTCCCCCTGCCTATTTTCTAAGGCTGCCCAGTGATTCCATGAACCATCCCACAGTCTTTTCTCAATGTAAGTGGACTTCAAATAGTTCGTGGAAAAATTCAATTAAAAGATACAAATTAAAAATGCAAACTTTATTTCCCAACGTAAGCTCCATCAAGTTCAAGACATGTTTGTAAGTGATAATACCAGACATTTAGTTCATCCCTAAAGAACTGAGCATCCTGGAATTTAACCATGTCAATGCAGTCTTTTTTACATTATTAACTGAAGAAAAATGGGTGCCCTTTAAAGATTTTTTTTTTAAGATTAGGAAACAAAAAGAAGTCAGAGGGAGCCAATCAGGACTATAAGGTGGATGCCTAATGATTTCCCATCAAAACTCTTGCAAAATTGCCCTCTTGATGAGAGGAGCAAGCAGCAGCATTGTCGTGGTGAAGGACTCTGGTGAAGCTTTCCTGGGTGTTTTTCTGCTAAAGCTTTGGCTAACTTTCTCAAAATACTCATAATAAGCAGATGTCATTGTTCTTTGACTCTCCAGAAAGTCAACAAGCAAAATGCCTTAAGCATGCAAAAACTGTTGCCATGAACTTTGCTCTTGACCAATGTGCTTTTGCTTTGACTGTTGCATTTCCACTTCTTGGTAGCCATGGCTTTGATTGTGTGTTGTCTTCAGGATCACCCTGGTGAAGCCATGTTTCATCTGTTACAATTCTTTGAAGTGATGCTTCAGGATCTTGACCCACGTGTTTAAAATTTCCACTGGAAGTTCTGCTCCTGTCTGCAGCTGATCTGGGTGTGACAGTTTTGGTACCCATCAAGCAGAAAGTTTGCTCAATTTTCACTTTCCAGTCAGAATTGTATAAGGTGAACTAATTGTCTATGGGGTTGGCTATTGTTTCTGCTGTTAATTGCTGGTCTTCTTCAATTAGGGCACGAACAAGATTTTTTCCTCACAGATTGATGGTCTATCACTGTGGGCTTCATCTTCAACATTGTCTTGTCCTTTCTTAAAAGTTTTCCATTTGTAAACTGATTTCAGGCATTGTACCCATAAACTTTCTGTAAAGCATCAATGATTTCACCATTCTTCCACCCATGCTTCCCCACCAGTTTGATGTTCTTGCTTCCACTTTAGCAGAATTCATGTGGCTCTGATAGGGGCTCTTTTTAAACTGATGTCTTATTCTTCTTAATGCCTCAAACCAGATTCTGTTCAGTCATGTTATAACAAGTTTATTTTGGTGCAAAAAATCTTTGCAAACTATGCAATTTTCCGATAATACACACTTTCTATGAACTTTTCAAAGACCCCTTGCATGTTCAATTTTAGCTCATCAGTCATAAAGTTTGGTTGTGGTTCTTAATGGAGGCATAAAGTTTCCACTTAAAGTGTAGGAAGTGCTTCATGGGGTGAGATGGGGGTGTTAGTGTTCTGTACTGTGACTGTGCTATTTGGCAGGACTTTCTTATCCTTAGGCTGGCTCTCTGCTGGCATCAGTGATATGTAAGTTGAGAATCTTGTCCCTGTCCTCCCAAAAGGCAAGAAACATTAATGCTTTTTGAGTCACTGCCTCTAAGATACCTGCTATCAGTCTTCCTCCCTCACTCTGTAATCATGGCAGCTTTTACTTTATTTAACTTGTGCACCTATGTACTTTCCAGATGGTCTGCTGGCTGGAGATGTAGTTTCACTGTGGTGACAGGTGCCAAAATCTTGTTCAGGTCTTTGGGCTTTGCTGAGTGAACATCTAGTCTGCATCAACCCAAGGGTGAAATCCTCGCCCATGGTGAATTTCTTGTTCTGTGCTGCATGATGCCCTCCATTGCTGAGCCTGAAACGGGACCTCACAGAAAGCAGAATGATCTTATCAGATGAGGTTCAGAATCTGGCTCTTTTCAGTTGAAATGTTTTATAAGGTAAAGAACACAGGGAGACTGAAAAAGAAAAAAAAGAAGTTTTATTTATTGCTGAAGATGTGAAGGCGTTCACAAAATGCCAAGGAAAACCATTCTCTGCTCATTTTTTACATCTGAGACTCTGAGGCCTGAACTTTCACTGTGTACCAGGAAAGAATGACCCTCTTTCAAACAATCTTTCACAGTTAGGGTTATTCTTCTGTTTCCTCAATGTCCCAGTATTAGTTATCTACAAAGTTTGCCTCCATTGGGCCCTGACTTGTATTTATCAAGTCTCTGTTCACATGTTCAGTTTCTTAGGTTGCTTATCCTAGTGAGCTTCAGTTCTGTGGGCCCTCTGATAGAGGTATGCACAAGACACATTATCAGAGCTTTTTTAGTGTTATGTTTTCTGAGTACTAATAATGGCAGCCCAGAAATGAACAAAGGGTAGCATTAAGGGAACCAGCAATTAAAGCCTTAAATCTAAGGCAGACAATTCCATTCTCAACTGATGTAATGGGTTGGATAATGCTTTTGTAAGAGATAGTATATGTTTTTGTGTACACAGCACAGTGTTTAACAAATTTATTATATATAAGTATACAAACAGATTTAGGGAAAACCTCCAGACTATTTCCCCAAATGATAGACATAGCCAAAAAGAAAAAAAAAAAAAAGGAGGCAGGGCACAAATTAATAGTCCTCTTAGAATTTGAACAGAATGAGAAGATATTTATTTCTATAAAATCTTGGTGGGCATGTACCCCAGGGATGGTCTGGCTTCAGTAAAAAGCTGGGAGCTAAATTGACCACAAGCAGGTCACCAAAATCTGATTGTCAACAGAGGAAATGGTGGCTGCTTGTATCCTAGGGCTTCGCATATAATCAGCAGGTCCATAGACATCAAAGGTATTGTTCACAACACACCTTAGCAACATGGGTCCATGACAGTGTACGTTTTAGAACATATACACTGGAAGTACATACTGAATGCAAATCAGAAGTTCATGAAAATATAAGTCGCTTACAATATATAGAATATGACTGTCCCTATACAAAGGGTTCACAATCTGAACTGGCCTTTTAAAATGGCAAATAGTATTAAAATAACACTGTAAACAAACAACTCAAATACAAAAAAAAGAAAACAATATGTAGTTAAACATACAGTTATTCAAGACTTTTCTTTTAGGTAAGATTTTCAGAAAACCCAGTGATAGATTTTATATCACAAAATGGCCCATATCGCCCAAAAATGTCTTTCGATTGGATAGTAAAATAATATTTACTGGAAGCTAAAAATTGAGATAAAGTACAGGCCATTGGGAGCGGTAAAGCTTTAATTTCTCCAATTTTCTTCCAAATCAACTTATTATTAGGGTTCTCATGGCACAGGAAGAGATGGTAGCTTTCCACAGGAGCACACTTGGGATTGATTTTGGTGATGTTCCAAGTCAGGGCAATGCCTTTTGGTCTCAGCACCCGTTTCACTTTGAGCTCAGGCTTCTGGGGAGGAAGCGTGTCTCGGACTTTGTCTGCCAGTTCAGGTGGTAGTGCTGGTGGTTCTGGGAGAGGTGGCAGGTGCTCAAAGGACTCAAGAACCTAAAATGGCATTTGTAACAAAGTTTAGCAAGCTGGTTTGGTGGATAGTGATTATTCTAAGTGGTCAACTGCAGTTGTACAAATATGTATTTCCCATCTTTCGATCCACTTTTCAAGATAAGAGAAGCATACTGCAAGAACATGCTAGGCTGGATACAGTCTTTTTAAGCATAAGCTTCTTTTATAGTTAAGATTTCTTCACTCTAAAATGTCACTAATCCAGAACGGGTTAGGTCCCAGACATTCTGGATAAATATTCCATCTCATTTCCAAATTGTTTCCACTGTACTAATTTACATGAAAAGTATGAGAGTACCCATTTCCCTCCATCCTCATCAACAATGGCTATTACTTTTAGAACAAAAATTTGTTCCAACTTGTTGGGTGAAAAAAATTCTGTAGCTTCTAGAAAATTCAACCAAATTACTTCAATTGTGTAAATAGGTAGATTCATAATAGCACATTTTAGAAAGCACATTAAAATGTTTTCTAAGCTGAAATGTGACCCAAATATTTCTTCAGTAGTAAAATGGGTACTTCCTACTCAATTTGGAATGAATGTCCCTTACAGAGCATTTTATATCAGTACCTGGAATGCATTTTGTGCCACCGGGATTGTTTCTTTTGAGTTTGAAACAGCTTTCGAAGGTGACTCCAGGGTGGACACTGGACTTTCTGTGAACAACACAGGTTTAAGAAGAAAATTTATCTGCAGTAATCAATTCCATAGTCTTTAAGCAAATAGTTTATGTCTTGGGTGGTAATTAAATGTGAAGTAAAATTACAGTCAGCCCTCTGTATACTCAGGGGATTGGTTCTAGAACCCTTCATGTACACCAAAATCTGCGTATGCTCCAGTCCCACAGTTGGCCCTGTGGAAGAAAAGATGGCCCTCTACATATGACGGTTCTGCATCTGTCAATACTATATTTTTGATACCTGGTTGGTTAAAACTTCAGATGTGGAACCCCCATATAAGTGGACATGTGCAATTCAAACCCATGTTGTTCAAGGGTCAGCTGTACAAAACTGTGAAATATTAAGATACACTTCTGATAAAATTTCAAGACCCAAAGGTACCAAATACACAGAATTTTCCTTTAAGGTGACAAAAATTCCCCTCATAAGGTAAACACTTTAGCCATTATGTAGGTGGGAACTAGGTACATTTACATATGGGAGAGAGATTCCTGCTCAGTGATCTTAGGGCATATTCTCTTCCTTTAGGCCAACAAGGATGTCCCCAAACACTGAGCAATTTATAATCCTGTATGAGTATATGAGACACACAAGTCCTGGGAATTCAAACTAACAATCACGAAGTCTAGAGATGAAGAAATTTCTACGGATGAGATATGTGTAGTCTGGAGGGAATTTGGTATAAATTGTGGATGGGGAAGAGAGAGGGGAGGAAGGAGGGAGATAAAGAAAATGGAAGAGTTGGTGAGAGAAAGGAAGGAGAGTGGGAAGACAGAAAATGTGGGTGGGAGGGAGAGAAAGTGCATAGAAGGTGTGAGAATTTTTTTTTTTTTTTTTTTTGAAGATGACCGGTAAGGGGATCTTAACCCTTGACTTGGTGATGTCAGCACCACGCTCTCCCAAGTGAGCTAACTGGCCATCCCTATATAGGGATCCGAACCCTTGTCCTTGGTGTTATCAGCACCACACTCTCCCAAGTGAGCCACAGGCCGGCCCATGAGAATGGTTTGAAAACAACTGGAGAGAGTATAAATGAGGATGGTTAAGAAAAGGGAGTTCATGTTGGAAAGTATTACGGCTGGGTAGCTCCAAATTCCAGAAGTTTAAATATATCTAAAACAGTAAAAACCCTAGTAGGTCTGTTATGTGTCCAGTGATATAACTATTTAATATATTTTATGAATCCCTCAAAGGAAATTTTAATTTGTATTTTTCTTTTGACTGACAAGGATAATCAAATTTCTGCATTGTATTTCAAAGTTAATTTATTAGTCAATTTATTTATATTAAAAAAGCTTGTCAGTTCCTGTACCTGCCAGCTGCCAAAAAACAAAAAAAACACAATGAAACATTTTCAGATAGCATACATTATACGAAGTTATACGACCTTCCTTTATACAGCTGTTCTGTCTTCAGTCAGTTGATTATTTCTGTCATGTTTATATCTTCAACAACATTTATTTTGCTTATGAGAACAAAAACTCTTTATGTACTGTAAGTAAGAAGACCTGGCCTCTAGAACTAGTTGAACCAGTGGTTGTGATCTCATCACTCTGTGCCTCAGTTTCTCCAAGGTAATCAGTGTTGCCCCCGTACCGGGCCGGGGACCGGCAACGGGATTGCAACCCTCAGCGTCGCCCCCATGCCTCGCTCAGCCAGTGAGCGGGAACCGGTCTGTATGTGGGATCCGAACCCTCGGGTGGGAGTGCCGCCACGCTTCCCAAGCGGCGCACTATCCAGTGCGCCACCGGGCCGGCCCCTGATTTCATGGTTTTAATTCTAAGAAAGTCTGTACTGTCTTTTTACACTGGTGTAATTAGAAACAGATTCATAAAATCATAGTCTGCAGGTTGATCATCATATAAGAGCTACAAATAACCTTTAAATTTTCAAATCAACAGGTTAATACAAAAAAATCTAACAAATATAATTTCCTATAAATAACATTCCTTCTTTCAAGTTAGTAAGTCAACAGGCCCTTGACAAATTAAAACAGGCTAAGACCAAAATTCAACTTTATGATACTAAGAGACAACACAAGACTTTTATTCCGATCCAGTTGTTTATATCCTTAGTGTCATCCATGTCAATTTCTTATACTCTCCTTACATACATAAAAACATGTAATGATGACTTTCGTGCTTTATATTCTCAAAGCAACAGTAGCCAGCACCCCATTAGTTTAAGGGTCTTCATTAAACTGCTAGGTGAAAATTGTGGCTTCTATTTTCAACTTTACCCTTTGTTGTTTGAAGTTTCAGGTTCTTTTTGCTGCATGTGGACACACATGCCCATGTGGACACACATATCCATCCATGTCAATATTTGTATTATAAAAATGATTTTTTAAGTTTATATTTTTGAAATGAATTATTCAGAGATAAAATTTACATACAATAAAATGTACCCATTTGAAGTGTGCTGTTCTTTGAGTTTTGACAAAAGTATACATTTATGAAATCATCACCAAAATAAAGACAAAGAATTTTATCACCCCAAAAGTTCTTCAGTGTCCCTTCTCAGTTTTACGATATGCTGTCACTAAAGATTACATTTGCTTTTTCTAGAATTTCATATAAATTCGATCACGAAGCATGTAGGATTCTTTTGCCCAGCATGTTTCTGAGATTCATCTATGTTGTTGCATACACCATTATTTTGCTCACTTTTATTGTTGAGTAGTGTTTAATTGTATGGATACAGCACAATCTATTTATCCATTCATCTGTCAAACATTTAGGTTGTTTCCAGTTCTGGGCTATTATGAATAAGACTGCTATGAATATTTGTATAAGTCTTCACATGGATGTATGTTTTCATTTCTCTTAGGTAAATACCTAAGAGTGGAATAATAGTCATACAATAAGAATAGAGTTAATGTTTTAAGAAACTGCTAAACTACTTCTCAAGTGGTTTTGCCGTTTTTCATTTTTACCTACAAAGCATGAGAATCCCAGGTTGCTCTTCATCCTCACCAACACTTCATATTCTCAGTTTGGCCATTCTTTTGGATGTGTAGTAGTATCTCATTATGGTCTTCACTTCCCTAATGAATTAATAATGTTGAGGATATCTTCTTTAGCGAAGTGTCATCTTTTTGCTTTGGGTTTTATTTGCTCTTCTTTTCTTAACATCTTACAGTAAAAGCTTAGACTGTTCATTTTAGACCTATTTTTTTCTACTATAAACATTTAATGCTAGTAATTCCCCTGTAAGCACTGTTTTAGCTGCATTCCACAAATTTTTTTTTTTTAAATGATGACCGGTAAGGGGATCTCAACCATTGGCTTGGTGTTGTCAACACCAGGCTCAGTGAGCCAACCGGCCATCCCTATATAGGATCCTAACCCGTGACCTTGGTGTTATCAGCACCGCACTCTCCTGAGTGAGCCATGGGCCAGCCCTGCATTCCACAAATTTTGACATACAATGTTTTCATTTTCACTCAGTTCAGAATATGTTCTAACATCCCTTTTAGATTTCTACTTTGACTCATGGGTTATTTAGAAGTATTTAGTTTCCAAATATTTAGGGATTTTCCAGGTATCTTTCTGTTATAGATTACTAATTTGATTCTGTTGTGTCGGAGAACATATTCTATAAGATTACAATCCTTTTACATGTAGTCAGACTTGTTTTATGATCCAGAAGCTGATCTATCTTATTGCATGTTTTATATGCACTTAAAAGAAAGTATATTGTTATGGTTGGGTTGAGTGTTTTATAAATGTTAATTAGGCTATATTGGTTAATAGTGTTGCTTAGGCTTCTATAACCTTACTTTCTGTCTTTATATTGTATCAATTATAATAATTTATCATTTATTGTTTGGGTACTATCCATTTTTGCATCAGATATTTTGAGGTTCTACCATTAAGTGCATACATATGTAAGTTTACTATGTCTTCTTCCTGATGAAAGAACTTCTTTATCATTATGAAACAGCCTTCTTTATCTCTGGTAATATTCCTTGTTCTGAAGTCTACTTGTCCAGTAATAATACAGCCACTCCAACTTTCTTATGATTAGTGTTTTCATGCTTTTGTATGGCTTATCATCTTCCATCCTTTTAATTTTAACCTGTCTGTGTATTTAAAGTACATCTTTTATAGCTTATAGTTGAGTCTTGTTTTGTTATCCAGTCTAGCAATATCTGCTTTTTAATGGAATGTTTTACCAATTTACATTTATTATCAATATGGTCATGTTTAAATCTACCATCTGCCTTTTGCTCTCTATTAGTCTAATTTGTTCTTTGTCTTTTTTTTTTTTTGTGGCTTCTCTTTGATTATTTTTAAAATTCCATTTTATCTCCACTATTGGTTTATTAGCTCTACTTCCACTTAAGAGAAAAAACTGTTGCTCTAGGCATTACTATATGCGTCCCCTCAAATAAATTTATACCACTCTCACATAATGTAAGACACTTACAACAGCATATTTCCATTCTTCTGACCATCTCTTGCATTATCGTTGTCATACGTTAACTTCTTTTTTTTTTTTTTTTCCCTTTTTGTCTTTTTTCGTGACCGGCAACGGATCGCAACCCTCAGTGTTGCGCCCATACCGGACCAGGACCGGCCACGGGATCGCAACCCTCGGTGTTGCTCCCGCCCCTCGCTCAGCCAGTTTGCGGCCGGTCTGTATGTGGGATCCGAACCCTTGGCGGGAGCGCCACCACGCTTCCCAAGCGGTGCACTATAGCAGTGCGCCACCGGGCCGGCGCCGTCATACATTAACTTCTACATATATTATAAACTCTACAAGATGGTGTTAATATTCCTTTGTGTAGATCCACTTTCTGATATAATTTTCTTATTACTTGAAGAACTTCCTTTATTTGATACTGAAGGTCTGCAGGCAAATTTTGTTTATCTGAAAAAGTCTTTATTTTGCTTTTTTTAAAAAGATATTATACTTGATAGATATAGAATTTCAGATTGACAGTTATCTTTCCCAACTTTTAATATAACTGTCATTTAATCATCTTTTGCCTTGCATAGTTCTAGCCGAGAAATCTGTGACTTCTTTGTTCTTCTATCTATATTGTATATTCATATTTCTATCACTAGTTATCAGGAATTTATGATATGTGTTGGTATGGTTTTCTTTGTGTTTATGTAGCTTATTGATCATCTTGGTTATGTGGGTTTATACTTTTCATTAAGTGTAGATGAGATCTTATAACTGATTCCCAACCCACAGCAGCTGTATTTCACTTCTTTTTGCTTAAATCTGAGGAAGAGGACACTGATGTCACTCTCCCACTACATTTTCATGTCATAACCTAGCTCCTGCCTCTGTGTGCATCCTCTCAGCTGCTACTGTTATGGTTAGGGGAAAAAGTGTGTGCCACAGGAAGAAGAGAGATTCATAATAGCCCCAAACAACCCAGATGTCTTTCAATGAGTAAATGGATAAATTATATACATCCACACCATGGATGATGACTACTCCTACTACTAGGCAATAAAAAGGAACACCCTATTGATACATAACAACAACATGGATGACCTTCAAGAGAATTATGCTGAGTGAAAGAAGCTGATCTCAGAGGGACACATATTATATCATCACATTTACATAACATTCATGAAATAACATAATTATAGTAATGAAGAACAAATTAGTGGTTGCCAGGGGTTAGGGATTCAGGGTAGAAGGGAGGTGTGGCTATAAAGGGGCAGCATGAGGGGAACTTGTGGTGACAGAACAACAGTGCTGTACTTTGTGGTGGCAGTTTCATAAATCTACACGTAATAAAATTGCACAGAGCTATAAACACACTCACACTAAACCTCCATAAGTAGGTCCAGTATGTTTTGAGCTGTTACCCTTCCCTCTTGCTTAGAAAAGAAAGATTAAAAAAATCCTTTACCTGTGTTGCAGTTGGATAGGCCCTCTTTTGTCAAATCAATTACAGAGTTAAGTTTCTTCTTCTCTACAGCCTGAAAAATTATTTGAAAAAAATATAAGGTTGATGTAGGGATAGGGTGTAAGGTGGCATGAGAGGGAAAAAATAAGGTTTTGCTTCAACAGCAGAAAATGCTTTTTAAAAATGAAACACATAAAACTTAATTACCACTTAGAGGGTAGAGACTAAACATTCTCTAAGTCTCTTAAGGTTTAATTCAACTCTACTATGAAAGAGATCCTCTTATAAAATACTGTATGGTTTGTAAGAATATGACTAAGCAGAGTCTAAATGCAATTGGTGAGTATGGTTGTGAAATATGTTTATCATAGTTATCATTAGCTGTCTGCTTTTCAATGTGTACAGTGGACTGGAACCTGGTTATGCTAACTAACTAGTCAGACATTAATTTCTTAGAGAATGAATCTCCCAAAGAATGAATGACAAAACTCAGTCATCCAATCTGTATTAACACTAAAGTTCCTAGAACTAAAATATTTAAATGGACAATATTCAGAGACAATATTTATTACCCACCACAACTTCAGTTTTAGGATTAGGTGAATCGCTGGACTTTCCTGACGGAATTTTTCTAATATCTGAAAAAAAAATCATTAAAATATGAATACATCTGACAAGTTTATTAAACTATTAAATATTTACGGACTTTAATTAAGAATGCTGAAACACAATAATAATGGGGATGCTAATTAACTGTTAATTATATAATCATAAAAAGTAAATCAGTTGACTTTACCTATTCCAAAGATTGACAATCCAATTAAAAAATGTAATTTTGGGTCAAAAGAATTTTTCCTTCTATTTTTTTGAAATTTTATCTGGAAATTATTTTAGCATTTGAGCAATTAAACTTGCAAATGCACGTATTTTTTTTATCCACAATATCCATAGGATAGGATAGCCTGTTGAAATGGCTAAGGAGCACTCTTCCTAGAACCAATAGAAAGCCCTATTAGATAAATTCCTAACATCTTTTGTAATTCTTTGATTCACAATCTTTACAGACCAAATTGTGAGAACAATTAAGGAGCTATATAAGTGGAGGCAAAGCTTACTAAAATTAAGATGTAAATACTCTAATACAGTAAAAAATGAAATGAAAACAGGAAATTTCAGATGGGAAATTATGGGCAAAACAAGATGGCTATTTTAAGAGAGAAAATTTATCATTAGAAGCCTATGGTTAAAGGTTTTTAGGTAAGTGTAATAAGAAACTCTGAAAAGTAACAAAAGTATTACAAAGAAAGCAAATGTTAAAAAGAAAGATAATAAAGCACAAACTTTTTATTTAAAGTAAACTATAAGATAACCAGATAAAACAAACAAACAAACAAACAAAACACAAAAAACAAACCACCACTACAACCAACAGAAGGCCAGGGTAAAGAATTAAAAATAATGTACATGAAAGTTAAGTAATTTTATAACTTGCAAAGTCATTAAACACAGTACAGAAACAAAAGGCCATAAATTGAAAAAACACAAGGTTAAAAAGAAATACCAATTATATTAAGGAATCATTTATTTATTCAGGTAATGTTAATCATAGTTATAAATTAGAACATTTTTGAGAATAGACTTAAAATTTTTATTTTATTAAAAGATATTATTCTTTATTTAAACAAATATTTATTTAAGGCTTTCTAATCAACTTAAGATACCTGTTGGATCTGATGTAATTGGATTTGTCAAACTAGGACTTTCCACAGAAATCAGCATAACATCATCATTACTAAAATGATAAAAAAATATAATAATAAAAAGATAAACTAAACATGCATTATCAGGCTTAAACATGCAATTAGTGGTTAGAATTCCTATAACTTAACATTTCACAACACGTTTTAATTGAACAATTGGCGGGGGGAAATGGAAATGATAAAACCAAATACCCAAGAAATCCCATGTATTACCAAATCAGTTATATAACCAAAAGTTCATGGAAACCCAATAATAATAGACTTTTAAAACTTAGTAGGGATGTATTCACAATGAATTCAAATATATGAGTATACAATATATATAAATGTACAAAATATACATTACTCTAGCGCAAATACTTACCTTCATAAAAATGAAACAACATAGAACTTAAACCCATTAAGACCCATGAAGATGCTGTGACTCTTAAAGATACAAGGCTGTAATAAATAAAACTAATTAAAAAAATAACTGCCACTACTCTACATTATATCACTACAATAACATTTACCACAAATTTTCTAAACTGAGGCAATGACGGTAAATGATGCTGATTATGGTTATAGGATATTCTGAGCCAGAAGATCATCTGCTGCCATTTTGACCCTGACTCCACTTTTATGAGTTTGAAATTTTAAATGAGAACTTTAAGAAAACCTTGCGACAAATTTTATTAAGCTTATTAAAATGCTAGATAAATTTTCTATACAGCATAATTATACCATTTTCTTATAAATATCTTATATTTTTAGAGTTTGTATTTAGGTCTGTGATCCATTTTGAGTTAATTTTTATATGTGACGTTAAGTAAGAGCCAAGGTTCACTTTTTTTCCTATAGTTATTCCAGCAACATTTATTGAAATGAAAATCTTTTCCCTATTAAATTACCTTCACACCTTTCTTGTAAACCAATGGACTACATGTGTATTCGCTAGCCTGTCCATTGAACTAACCAATGCCTATCTTTTTTTATGCTAACAGCATCATCTTAATTACTATTGCTTTGTAGTTAGTTTTGAACTCAGGTAGTGTAAGTCTTCCAGTTTTGTTGTTCTTTTATAACACTGTTCTCATCTTCTAGTCTTTGTATTTTCACATAAGTTTTTACCAGTTTGTAATTTCCTACAACAAAGGCTGCTGGGATTTTCATTGAGATAAGCATATAGAATAATTTGAGATGAAGTAGAATCTTAATAAATTTTCTGATTTATGAACATCGTGTACCTCACCATTTGTTTAGGTCTCCTTTAATTTCTTTAGCATACTTTGTGGTCTTAATTAGATTTTATACACATTTTGATTTATCCCTAAGTGTATCATATTCTTTGATGGTATCATAAATCGTATTAACTTTAAATTTCAAATTCCAACTGTTTGTTGCCTATACACAGAAATACTATAAAGAAATAATGTTTTTTTTTAATATACACTATATAGAAATACAAAAATATTTTCTATTTATCCACATAGTTAAAATTTCCAGCATTCTATATTATTATGTTTTTTCTATCCAGTGTTCTTTTCCTCCACCTGAAGAACTTCCTTTAAAATTTCTTGCAGTTCAGGTTTGTTGATGATGTATTCTCTCAACTTTTTTTAGTTTAAAAAAGTCTTGTCCCCTACACTTTTGAAAGATATTTTCTCTGGGTATAGAATTTTGAGTGGACATTTTTTTCTTCATATTTCAATATGTTAGAGATATCTCTCCATCTCAGAATTTTAGAGATGTCATCTAGTTTGCATAGCTTACAGTGAGAAGTATGCTACCATTCTTATTTTTGGTTCCTAAGTGATGTATCTTTTCTCTCTGGCTGCTTTGAAAGATTTTTTTCTTCACCACTGACTTTCAGCAATCTGATAGGATGTAGTTTTGTTTCTTCTGCTTGGGGTTTAACTTTTTTTTTTTTTTTTTTTACATTTATGGGTTTAGAGTTTGTATCAAATATGGGAAAATTTCAGATATTCTATTTTTAAATATTTTTCCTGCCCCAATCTTAGTGATACTCCAATAATATGCATATTAGACTGGCTGATACTGTTCCACAGGTCTCTGATATTTTTTCAGTCTTTTTCTTCTCCATTCCTTAGTTTGAAGTTTTCATTCTTATTTCACTGATACTTTTAAATCAATAATTAACTACTCTGTTGTTAATTCTGTCCATCCTACTTTTCACTTTAGTTGTCTTTTTCATCTCTACAAGTTCAACTTTGGTGTTTTATATATTCATTTCTCTTATGTTCACATTTTCCTCTATACTGTTGAACAAGAGAGGTATATTGATAATAGTTTTTCTAAGTCATCTGCTAAGTACAGCAGATATGTTTAGTCTATTACTTCATTCCTCTCCTTGTTTAATGGGTCATATTTTTTGCTACTTTGCATGCCTTGTAATTTTTTATTAGATGTCAGACATTTTAGAATTTATGCTGTTGGGTGATGGATGTTGTTTCATTCCTTTAAAGAGTGTTGGACTTTGTTCTGGGATTAGTTTGAATCCTTTGAGGCTTGCTTTTAGCTTTCTTGTGTAGGTTCTTTACAGTCTTTAGTCTAGGACTAATTTAGCCCCACTATACCCACCTGTGGACTCTACTTGCTGCTTCTCATTACAAGGTCTCTTCCTTTCAGCCAGTGGGAAAGCACAATGTTCCCAACCCTTCTTCTAGCCAATGAAAAGGCAAAATGCATGACCTCCAGGAATTGCTTGACCTTCTTCTCTCCAATGGTTCTTTCCCCAGCCTCATGTAGTTTCATCCTTTGCATACACAGACCTGTATTCAGCCAATGAATGATTCAAGAAGTCCCCTTTGCAGATCTTCAGAGCTCCATCTCTGCAATTTCTTCTCTTCACTGTTCTGTTCCACAAATTCTAGCCAACTCAGAATCTCCAATCTCTGATCTAAACTCAGCAAGACCATTAGGCTATTTGGAATTCCCCCACTCCTACTCCTTGACCTGGAAAACGCCTCCAGGCAGTAAATTGGCACAATGGTAGGGCGCATTTGATTTGTTTTCCTTCTCTCCAGGATCATAATCCTGAATTCCCTGTTGAACAATGTCTGAACACAATTCTTTATCTTTTCTTCAAAGTTGTTTACAGCAAAACATCAATTCCTACAGACATTAATGCATCATGGGCAGCAGCAGAACTTTTCTACATATTCCTTTTGATTTTGTAAAACCAACTGTTTTCCATGCACTTTTTTAAAGAAAATGTAATTTTATTAATATTATTTTTTACATTCTAGGATGTTGTTGCAGAGCAGGTGGGGGGGAGGGGGAGAGGGGAAGGAAATGGGATGGAAGGAGGAGGGGCAGGATTGAGGCCTGTGGCACCCCCCTCATTCCCACAGGGGAGACCGGGGGCTTCCAGTGGTGGTTTGGTCATTGCCAGGCTGGGTGTAAATGTCAGGGGTGTGTGGCAAAAGCCCTTGCCCCCCACCATCCAAGCTCAGCAACCCAGGGTCCTTCTTACTGTAGCCTGGTGGTTGTCAGTGGGCTGGTTGTATGTGTTGGGGAGGCATGGCTAAGGCCCTCCACCACCCCAGGTTGGGAGAGCCCCAGGCACTTCCTGGGGTGGTTCAGTGGTTGCCACTGGGCTGGCTGCAGGTGTGGGGGGCGTGACCAAGGCCCAAGGTCCCCTACCGCACCAGTTCGGGAGATCCCAGGGCTCTTCTTGCAGTGGCTCAATGGTCATCACTGGGATGGCTGTGCTTGGGGGCCGGGGGGATGGCCGAGGCCCACGACCCCCCACCACTCAGGCTGGGAGAGCCTGGGGCACTTCCTGTGGCAGCTGGGTGGTCACCACTGGGCTGGCTGCACACCAGAGGTTTGTAGCCAAGGCCCTCGTCCCCCACCCTTGGGATTGGTTGCAGGTGTCTAGGGGCATTGCTGAGGCCTCTGGCCCTCCCCACTTTCTGGCTTGGTAGCCCACGGGACTTCCAGTCCTTCTAGGTGTTACAGGTCTTTGGTGAAATGAAACCTTTACTAGTTAATATGAAACTTTTTCTCTGGTTGTGGGTACTTTGTTTTTTTCTTCCATTTTTGTGTTGGTTATTTGCTGTTCCCACTATTTAAACCCCGCATACTGGAACTTATTTATTGTCCTTTGCTTACTTCTAAAATGGGGGAACTTCCTGTGGGACCAGTACTTGAGCTGTGTGGTTGAGCTAAATTGATGCTTTGCTGCTAATTCCCTAGGGAAGGCTTTTTGTGCAGGTCAGGTTTTAATGGTTGACTCTATAGGTCCTTCCAGCTTTTGAGAGATCCAGTGCACCTGGGCTGTGTAGATACTCTGCTCTGGGCCTGAGTGTTTTCATCAAACTGTACCCCCTGTAATTCTATATTCCTGACCAATCTCTTCTGAGTGGTCCTGTGCTGATTGGGGTGCAGATCAGTTGTCCTTACTGTGCCCCAGTGTTCTCCTGGTGGGCCCATCTTCCCCACTGCACATGCTGCAAACACTTCCCATGGGACAGGCTGTGCACTGGTCCCATGTGATGACTCACTAGCCTCTGGCTGGTTCCTTTTTTTCAGTTGTTGTGGCTCCTATGCGGGTCCACGGGAACCCTACTAGTGGTCTTGCTGGCCTGGGGGCCACCATGGCCCTCTTTGCCCCTGCCACCTCCAAGCAACTTCATCTAAAGGGCACAGCTGCGGCTTTTGCCAGCTCCTGCTCCATGTACGCAGCAGCTCTAGCCTGGAAGCAGCCAGGGCTCGAAATGGTCAGAGAGGTTTTTTCTTTCTCTCATCATGGCTTCTCCCACCTTCACTCTGTAGGTCTCTCTTTGTCTTCCCCTGAGCTCTAGCAGCCTCAGCTTGGCTGTTGTTGCTTTTTCATAGTTGTAAATTGGTTGATCTGTGGGACAAGGTGACACTGGGGACAATCTATTCTGCCATCTTTACTAGAAGCCTCCATGCATTTTTAAACATGATTTAATTCAATAGGTTTTTTCATTATCAAATTTATCAATGAGAGATTCTAACATTGGTCATTACTTCTAAGAAACAAAAACAAATGTTCAGATCTAAA